TTTTTTTTGAGATGGACTTTTGCTCTTCTTGCCCAGGCTGGAGTGCGATGGTGCGATCTAGGCTCACTGCAACCTCTGCCTCCTGGGTTCAGGCGAGTCTCCTGCCTCAGCCTTCCGAGTAGCTGGGATTACAGGCATGTGCCACCAAGCCCGGCTAATTTTGTATATTTAGTAGAGATGGGGTTTCTCCATGTTGGTCAGGCTGGTCTCGAACTCCCGACCTCAGGTAATCCTCCTGCCACGGCCTCCCAAAGTGCTGGCATTATAGACGTGAGCTACCGTGCCCAGCCCTTTCTTATTTTTTATTGAAAAGAAAAAGAGAGAGAGTAGGTCTCACTTGTTACCCTAGCTGGCCTGCCAACTTGGTGAAACCCCGTCACTACCAAAAATACAAAAATTAGCTGGGCGTGGTATTGGTTACCTGTAATCTTTGCTACTTGGGAGGCGGGGGCAGGAGAATTGCTTGAACACAGGAGGCAGAGGTTGCAGTGAGCCAAGACTGTGCCACTGCTCTCCAGCCTGGGCAATAGAGTAAGACTCCATCTTGAATGAAAAAAAAAAAAATTAAATATGTGTGGTGGCATATGCCTCTAGTCCCAGCTACTTTTGGGAGGCTGAGGTGGGAGGCTTGCTTGAGCCCAAGAATTTGAGGCTGCAGTGAGCTGTGATTGTGCCACTGTACTCCAGCCTGGGCAGCAGAGTGAGTCTCTGCCTCAAAAAAAAAGAAAGAAAGAATTAGACCTTTGAACTGATTGAGAGATTATGAAAAGCTGGAAGAAGGAAATTATTTTGTTTTGTTGTCTAAATTGAGGGCAAAATGGAGATGAATGGTATTACCCAGTATCTTGGGGTGTTTTACAGTGACCCTGCATATCAGTGTCTGAACAGGATTCTTTTATTCCTTTAACCTCCTCCCCGTGCTGATGTATGTTGTTTTGTTTCCTGATTTGTAATCATCAGGCTACATATTCATGTTAGATTTCACACTCTATAGGCCTGCATGCCATGTGTTATAGTGTATCCTGGTTACAGTATACCCTACAAGGCGTACAAAATTTGTTTTTTTTTTTTTTGAGATGGAGTTTCGCTCTTGTTGGCCAGGCTGGAGTGCAATGGCGCGATCTCGGCTCACCGCAACCTCCGCCTCCTGGGTTCAGGCAATTCTCCTGCCTCAGCCTCCTGAGTAGCTGGGATTATAGGCATGCGCCACCA